AACAAAATATAAATGTTATAGACAAACAACATGAGATCTTAATCACACTCAAAGAAACAAAATTCATTTAAAATAAACAGTTGAAACACTAATCGGTGGCCTGCAAAATGACACTAAGCAGATGAGTTCCATAAGAACAAATCAGATGAATATAGCCACCAACTACAAGACAGTGAAAATCTCAATAAATAAAGGGAAAATAAGAAACAAAAAGTAACAAAGCCAAGATGCAGAAATTTTAGCCATAAATACTGAATTTAAAGAACGAACATGAAAAATGTCTATGCATTTCACTTTGTAAGGATTAACCAGCCTACAACTAAAATGAAAATGAAGAAGCATATAAGGTAAGAGCTAGAATGCAAGAGTTATAACTAGAAACACTATGTTCGAAGAACACAACAAGTCACAATTTCACATTGGAAAGTTAAGCATATGACAACCAAAATGAAAATGAAGCATAAAAGGTTAGAGGTTCTGAATATAAAAATTGAATTTGTAGAACACTACAAGAAGTCTTCATGTTGAAAGAATTGGTTTCTAACTTGGATTTATACTAGAAAATATTATATAGAATACATACAAAAAAGAGTGTAGTATTGTAAACATTATCACATAACCAATCCCAATGACTCTTTGGTCTCTCATTCCATATGATATCACTTGGAAGCTTAGCTCGTCCTCTCGCAGGTGTTCCACATGACAAGTAGTGTAGATGCAACTGGTGCCTAAACTGAGAGTACAACTTTGCCATCTTCTTGTCAACATATTCAATAATCTTTGGATGGGATAAGTCCACAACAAATAATACCTATTGTTAAACATAAATATATGCAAGTGAGTGCTTGAAATTACAATGAATAAATTGAATTAAATTCAAAACTCACAAGCAACTTCTCTTGTAGTTTCTTCTTTTTTGAAGCTGGGACATTAAACCATCTTTCATAGCAACTTCTCTTGCAGTTTCTTCTTTTTCAAGGCAAACCTAGTCTTGACTCTTGCAACACCTCTCTCAAGAAAGACAACACACATCTTAATGGTTACAGACTTCCAACATTTGAACAAAAACAAAAAACAAAAAGATAACACTTAGTCAGGGGACTAAGAAAAATAAAAACATATATCAACCACCAAGACCAAAATTTTGACTCCAAAGAGTAAAGAAGAATCCAGATTGGAATAGAAAACTCATTGCTAGTATAACTCTCCCTGAAGCAGAGAACAATTCACGAGCAATAAGATCTTTAGCGAAAGAAAATCAGAATATGGGGAACAATTAAAGAAAACAAAAATCCAAAAACAATTAAAGAAATATAGAGAAACAAAGTACCTTGTTTTCAACTGAAAGAACTTGAGAAAAAATCGAACTTCTTTTTCTCCAATTTGATCTTGGTAGTCACCGTCGCTGGCAACAACCAAGTAGTTGGTCGTCGAAGTTAGGGTGAAGGAGTAGATGAAAGGGTGCTGAAGACTGGGAAGAAATGAGAATAAATGGATAGGTTTTTGTGATTTTGGGGTTTTTAATAATTATTGCTTATGGCCACTTTTTTTTATTTTTAAATTCATAAATATTAAAATTTCTTTTGTAAACTTTGGCCCAATGTTGCCAGTGGCCTTCCGCAAAAATTCTTATGTGACTGAATCTTAAAGTGACATTTTTGCGTCAAAGTATTCACTTTTCTTTATATGCGCTATAACTTTTACAGCCCAAACTTTCCTAATCCAATGTTTAGTGTGACCAAAACAATTTATTAATCCACACAAAAAAAAAAAGTAAAAAATTTCACACACAGTTTAATGTCATTTGACGCCACAAATAAATTTTTGAGTGTTGGCCCAATTCAATGGCTAAAATGCTAATAATTTGGATATCCAAGAGAAATGGTAAGCATGACAACCCATGATCAATTATCGTGGATCAATAATCAATTTAAAATGCCATATTCCAGATTCAATGTAATTTATACCCCGGCCCACCGTATTTATGCCAAGAACTCATACAATGAAGCGGAGAAAGTTGAGTTTAGATTGAGGTAAGAGATAGACGGGTTTGATCGTTAAGACATGAACCAATCATCGGGGTTCAATGCCAAGGCGAGGAAAACCAATGGGTTCATCTTTTCAAAGATTGAGGAAATCTTATGATAGGAAAAAGGATTTACACATGGATTATAATATTTGGAGGAAAAAGGTTTCATAAATGGGGTCTAAATTCTTTGGAAGTATTTTAGGAAGAAATGAGTAAGAGTAGCTTTATATTATAGGGAAGAAATCCAGTAGTATCCAAGCTATAAAGGATATGTATGATGAAGCAAAGACTGCCATAAGAACTCATGAAGGGCAAACTAAAAGCTTCCCCATCACTGTAGGGTTACATCAGGCTCATCCTTAAGTCCTTACCTTTTTGCATTGGTAATGGATGAGTTAACGGGACATATTCAAAATAATATTCCTTGGTGTATGCTTTTCGCAGATGATATAGTGTTTATAGATGAAACTCAGGAATGGGTAAATGCGAAGCTTAACCTTTGGAGAGAAGTGTTGGGATCTAAAGGTCTTCGCCTAAGCCGATCAAAGACAGAATTTATAGAGTGCAAGTTCAGTGCAAATGGAGGCCAAAATGAGTTAGGGGTAAGGATCGGATATCAGGAAGTACCAAAGAGCGACCGCTTTCGCTACCTAGGATCTATCTTGCAAAAGAACAAAGAATTAGATGGAGACCTCAACCATAGAATACAAGCTGATGAATGAAGTGGAAGAGTGCATCCGACGTGTTGTGTGACCGCCGTGTGCCATTGAAACTCAAGGGAAAATTTTACAGAACGGCAATAAGGTCGGCAATGCTGTATGACACGAAATGTTGGGCAATGAAGCATCAATACGTACATAAAATTGATGTAGCGGAGATCTTCGTTGGATGTGTGGGCACACGAGAAATGATAAGATTAGGAATGAGGATATCCGAGGTAAAGTAGGAGTAGCCGAAATTGAAGGAAAGATGAGAGAAAATTGGTTACGGTGGTTTGGACATGTGCAAAGAAGGCTTACTGACACTCCGGTTAGAAGATGCAACTACGGGATAGAGGTCCATGGCCGAAAGGGTAGAGGAAGACCTAGGAAAACTTTGGAAGAGACTGTAAGAAAAGACTTAGAGTACTTGGATTTAACGGAGGACATGATACAGAACCGAGCGCAATGGCGTTCCAGGATTCATATAGCCGACCCCACTTAGTAGGAAAATGTTTTGTTGTTGTTGTTGTGGTGTTGTTGGCCACATAGTGGGCTGCTGTGCTTTGAATGCCAAGCCCTTCATAGAGGGCAGTTGCCACGGTAGTGGTATTTCCAGACCTATTGGGTCTTGCGGTAATTGTTTCTGGCCCATTGTAATGGGCTGCTATTGCAGCCAAGCCAGGATCGGCTTCGGCCTTCTTTCCCAGTGGGATAACGGCTCCTTCTCCAGCCATCGCAGCAAGCTTGTGTTTTGGTTTTCTGTGTTCCTGGTTCCTGGACGTTCTGCAGGTCTATCCCTTGTCTTGGAATGCAGCAGTACAGATAGTTCTAGGATTGGAGAGAGACCAGGCCAAAAAAAAGGGGCTCTGATTCCAAGATAAAGTTTGTATATTTTGGTTAATTGATTATTCTCTCTCCAATATGGAGACAATATATATACATCCACACGTTGTGGCACAAGGAATAATAAAGGAGAATGTATCCTAAACTAGGAAGGAATCTCTCTAATCTAGGAAACCAAATTACATTCCAAGACTAACTAGTGAATCACGTCAACAAAATCTATCTGATATAATTATTGGTAGACGTAAGAAGTTTGAATTGCTCAAACCGGAAGGAAGTTGGAGGCTATTGGCCAGTTACTCATTGGTGGTCATATTTTTAGATAAAATATAGGGAATTGTTAGTGGCACTACAAATATATAACAATGATCGACTAAACTAATTGATGTTTTGGTCAAGAGGTGTTGAAGAATAGTATAGCAGCTGTCATTTCCAAATTATAACGGCTAAAAATTCCAGTACATCTTATACACTGAGCATAGTAGAATTGTTGTCTTCGTAGTTGCATGGAAATCTTGAGGGATGGCTGACATGGTCATGGACAGTGCAAAAGCAATCAGAAGTCTACACCAGGATAGAATTATTTGTGGTATTTTTCGGTGTACTTTAATCCCTAGTTTACTCATCATGTGACGGTCAAGATTTTTTATTTGTTACTTCTCACTCAAGAGAAACAAAGAAAGTTAACTCTTGACGTTTATGATGACTCCGTAGTCGTTTATTAGACCTAAATTTCTCTTGCAAAACTACGGATTTTTTTTTTTTTTTGTGTGGATCTGATATCAATAGATCATGTGCTAAACTCTGTCTCACATAAAACTTCGATATATTTTTCAACAGGGCTCATGTGATCGGGCACGTTATAACAGTACTATTAGTGAGTCACTAGGTAGTGGTTTCTTGATAACGTGGAGATGGGGTTTTGAACAGCTGCTAGGAAGCTTACTGTACTGATACTCATTTGGATGAAGATGAGAACATCAAGTTTGGATCTTGTAATACTGTGTATTTCCCCCAATTTTATTGGATTAGTTATAAAAATGAGCGTTGCTATGCCGATCCAACTGTTATATTTCTTACCGGCTTTATAACTTAAAAAGTAAGTGACAAATCAAATGTAAGATGGTAAGAAAATAGACCATGTGAGTACGCAATATTTGAGCAGAAAAACCGAGTACATACCATATTGAACCAAAGGTTTGAAATCATTTATTTTATACTTTATACCAATAAAATTCTTGATTCTATGTAAAACAACTTAATCTTATTAGGTTGGTCAAAGTATGAGAAAATTATTATCGCGATATAAATTCGCTTCACGTAAGACACCCATCTTAGTGCAAAATCCAGTTTGAGGAGAAAACGTTTGATGTTGATCATACTCTTCAATTCGAGATTGCTAAGGGTATATATAAAAGTTCCCTTTTTGTAACCATAAATATAGAGTTCTTATTCTATATATACATTAAAAACAGACTACAAATTTACACTCAAAAGTTAGAGCTAACAAAACCTCAGGTAGCAAAATTGTACTTGCATTTCAAGTAGTCTAGAAATGAATGACAAAAAAGGAAGCTAGCTGCATACTATTATTCTTCTGTACTCTCCCTCTTTCAACAATCTCACGGAGGTTTAGACCTGGCAACAAAAACATGGCAGTTGAGGTCAATTACGGGAAATCTTCAAATAGTGGGGAGAGAGAGAGAGAGAGAGAGAGAGAGAGAGAGAGAGAGAGAGAGGCATGAAAACGCTGAAAGCAGTAGTAAGTAGTTTTACTTTACTTGTTCTGTGTGGGATTTGGAGTGCTTGGAGGAATCCTTCTAAAGCTTGAGCCAATTTGCTTATTAGGGTTCTTCTTCTTGTCTGCCTCCAAATCTTTAAGACCTTGTGATGAAGTTGAAAAATCTGCTTCTGATGCAGCTGCCGAAGCAGAAGCCAATGGACGTGCTTCTGCTGTTGCAACATTAGGCCACGTCGAAAATACCATGGAAATTGCAAGAGCCAAAGCAGCCAGAATTCTAGACCAACTCTTCATATTTTTGATAACTTTTAGAGTGAGTGAAGTGAAGATGGATATTTTGGAAGAAGCTTATGATTAGATGGGACAACAAATGTTTAATTTATACCAAATTTTGTTTGGAAAAAAAGTTGAAAAAAAAAACCTATCACTCACACTTTTTTTATTTTTGACTATTGAATTGAATAAATTACACAAAAATAACAAACATAATTGAACATGAGTATGTAGAAAAATAAAAAAATTTGTATTTATCGTTTCTCAAAAAATTCTCATTTGGGATCTGATACGAGTGGGATCATGTGCTCAAACTTTGACTGATGAATGCTGCAGATTTTGTTGAAAAAAGATGATGTATTTGTTTTTGGTAATTGGGGTCATGTGATGAGGCACATGATTTTGATATTGATAGTAATATTAATTGTGTTTTGGGAAGCCAAAAGAGTGGTTATTATGTTAATAGTGATAAGGCAGTGGTACTAGAATTAGGACAGTGTTGGATCTGAAGTGTTTAAACAATATGGTAGAAGCTGACTAGAGAGTGTAGCAGTTGGTAGTAGGTGGCATACACACAGCTGTGGGATTGAAGCGTCTCAATCTGCACCTTCTTGAGCTATGCATGGTTGACACTTATAAAAGCATAGTTCATAAACCATGCAAAGCTGGCACCTTTCGGATCCTCTTTATGAAGCTCTCGGAGATCTGTAAATTATATCCGTTCATTGTACATCGAGCGGTCAAAAATTATTTTAAATATTTTTACTGAAAATTTAACTTTCCCCCTCCAAACTCATTTTTTCTAGCCTCTAGCCCATCATATAATATTTATCCGAATAAAACCCAATGATTAGGATCCAACTAAGCAACTTACCAAATTAAGTTTGTGTGTCTGTTTTTATAATTTTTGGATCCCTAATATACCCCCATCTAAGCAAGTATGGAAAGTTCTTGTAATTTTGTTTTAATTGATCACGTGCATTGAATTTGGTGAGGTCTTGTAGCCATGAAATATGGTTCTAGATGGAGGAATTAATTTGGAAACTTTTTTAGTTTTGACAATAAATTTCAATTTGAATATACCTAATTTAGTGTTTATTTTCAACAATATCTATTGCTTAATTTTATGAAAATAATTCACCTACTATGAAAATTAATTTTATGAAAACAATATCTATTGTTTAATTTTATACCTACAGTATAATTACAAGAAAATAGTTTACCTACTATGAAAATTAATTTTTTCAAAACAATATCTATTGTTAAATTTTACGAAAATAATTTACCTATTGTATAATTACTGAAAATTAATGTGCCTACTTTTTAAATTTGTAACAAAATTAATTTACCTACTTCTTTTTATGGTATTAGTATACATAAATGTAGAATATATGTCCGTATATATTTGATCTAATTAGGTTTTGGATTGGAGGAGTTCACACAAAATTAAAAATATATTAAACAAATTAAATGTCTAAAAGAAACGTATAAGAGATTTGGTGGCATGATTTTGTAAATAAACTCAAATTCATGGACATCTTTTATCCAACATGACATCATATTTAAAATTTGGGTTTTATTTAGAAGTTATAATATATGTGGGTTTTTGTCTAGAGTTTAAGAATTGCAAGGATTTAAATCTAAAGAACCCATATTTTTATTTAAAATTAAATACAAACAGGACCTGACAAAAACTTACCACACGATGTACGATGAACAGACACAATTTATGGATCCTCACCAAAAAAGGATCCGGAGAGGATCTTGTTGACCTTGGGCCTGAGGGTGGGTTTGTCGCCCATTACCATAGCCACGACGTCATATGTGGCTGCTGGAATTGGTCGCATGTGCTTCAAGCGAAGTGTTCGAGCCAGTGGGTCGAGCTTGATGATTTCTCATCAAAAGCTAGTTCTGCTTTTTAGTGAGAAATAAAACAGAAATCAAATTCGAAAATTTGGTGAACTTTTGTGCCCTATATTATTGTTGCAGGACAATATTGGTGGCATGGAAGGTCGAATAGGTCTTCTCTAGGAGATTTGCATCTGTTAAGCCATCTTTACAGAACTTAAACAATGATCGGATTCTACAAACTTCAGAGTTGTATTCATTCACGAACTTCAATTCTTGGAAGCGTAAATGCTGCTAGTCATGCTTCATGCAAGTAAATGCCTTTCTGGTGATTAAAACGATCAGCCAGAGCAAGCCAGAGGGTGCGTAGATCCTCCTCAACAAGGTACTCAGTCTGCAGTGCATCATTGATGTGTCTTCGAATGAAGATCATTGCAATAGCTCTCTCAGTTTCGTAGACGGGTTGTCGTAGGTAGGTTCCTCAATGGTGGCTCTAGTACCCTTTGCAGTAAGGTAGAGTTTCACGTCTTGAACCCATTTCATGTAGTTTCTTTCAAATACTTCCAAAGCGGTTAAATCAGGCTTGTTCAAGTTCGACATATCCCTAAAACGGAGGGTACAACAAAACGTAGTTAGTCATATGGTAATCCATAGACATACATCGTAGAACATTTGGGTTCTGTAGACATGTATTGGTTTAATTTAAGCATGAAAGCTACAGGTTTCATGTGGTAAGTTTTGAATGAAACTTCGGGTTTCAAAGGCACTAAATATGAAATTACAAGTTCAATTTAGTTTTATGAACGATTAGTTCATAAAGGAGATGTTCATGCAAGAACACAGAATGCAATATGCTGATTTTAAGTGTAGTGGATTTGAGTTGCTTAGGGAACTCAAGTGTGAGAACTTCTAGACTATGAAATGATGTCAATGGTTCAAAGTAGAAAAATAAATTATTGAATCGTTAATGTCCAAAAGTGATCTTCAAGTCAATAATTTTGGATTAATTATCAGATTAATGAACTGCGAGTCACTTTTAATTAATTCAATAGATCGGGACCAAACGGGGGTGTGGAAGCAAAATAATGACAGACGGGTCATATTAGCTTCAATTGGTGATAGGCCAAAGTACCCCAAATAATATTTGGGTATGACTTATAATGCGGGAATGCCAGAAATTGACATTGGGTTGAAAAAGAGAACGCGACCTAGCACAAAAAAAAAAAAAAAGGTTGACGGCGGTGCGAGGATAGGCCTTGCAGCACGGCTACAGGCCAGTGGGCAAGCCTCTGGGCTATATGGTATGTGTAAGTCCAACAGGAAGTGCTACTGTTTTGGGCAAAAAACAGGGCATAGGTGTAGGCCCATCATGTACTGGCCTGCGAGTTGGTGTAGGGAAGCCCAACCAAGGCTGGGGTCTACTTTTTTGGGTTAGGGAAAGTGAAGCCTAGCAGCATAAGCTTCTGCCTAGCAACAACAAGCTGCTGCAAGTAGGCCTGAGCATGGGACATGAAAAGCCTAGCAGCTCTAGGTTGATGAAGTTGAGCCAGGAACGAGCAAGACAAGGCTAAGAAAGCATTCAGGCCTTCTCAGTTTGGCTAGAGGCTTTAGGTCCGTGATTACCCTATGAGGCCTAGGGCCTGGGTTGTTTGGCTTGAGTAGCAAAGCCCAAAGAGCTGTTGTCGTGTGGTCTAGGGCTTCAAACGACGACGTTCCCATGTTTGCTCCACATGGATGGGCTGCAGGCCAGCTACAGTGGTTGGCGATGGTGCCTAGCGGTGGCGAGCAGCAGCCATGCTGCATATTTCCTAGATTTTTCTTTTTTTCGACTTTTCTAGGGTTTTAAGAACCCTAAGTTGCTTCTAATTTATTTATATGCTTTGACTCACAAATTCCACATAGAAAAAAAATAATTGCGTAATGCATGAAAAGTATATGTGTATGTACACACACACACACACACACACACACACATACATACATACATACTAGCCTTCATGCACACGCTCACGCGCGTGCAGAAGACATTTTTTGGATCACGGCGTGCTACGCATGACTTACACGTTTTAAATGTATTTATATGCGTAAATTGACAAAAGGAAAGTCAAATATTTGAAGTAAATGAATAATCAGAAGAATAAACTAATTAAAGCAGTTGAATTCACATAATAAAATCAGTCTCTATAGAATTTACGTTAAGAATAGAGAAAATAATATTTAATAAGCAATTGATAGAATCACATTATTGTTAGCCCATTGTGAGACTAAGCTCACCCCTTCCTCCTTATTATAGATAATATCATTTGTTAAAAATAAAATAAAAACAATCATTTGATAACTAATTTAATCACAGAAAATAATATTTAATAAACAACTGATTGAATCACATTATTGCTAGCTCATTGTGAGGTTAAGCTCACCCTCTCTCCCTTAGTGTAGATAATATCATTTGTTAAAAAAAAATCATTTGACAACTAATTTAATCATATTATTATTCACGTGCGAAATACCTTTTTTTTTATAACTGGCATTACACGCCTCTTAAGATGTTTTAAACGTGCTTAAAATAGAAAAATTGAATCACATTATTGCTAGCCTATTATGATGTACTAATTTTTTTTTAAAGCACAAAAAAATTAATTATTAAAAAAACACTATTAAAATTATGAAAATGTCTCTGTCTTATTTAATACATTATTTTGGGATGCCTTTGAAGTTTTTTGTCTTGGGGGCATTTTTGTCCAAATATTTTTTGAAGCTTGGTGACACCAAAAGCACTATTCACCTTTGTAACAATCATTTGACAACTAATTTAATCATATTATTATCCGCGTGCGAAAGACCTTTTTTATAACTATCATTGCACGCCTCTTAAGATGTTTTGAACATGTTTAAAAATAGAGAAATTGAATCACATTATTGCTAGCCTATTGTGTTCTAAAAGACGTTACGCACTAATCAGGCAGCAAGCTGGGGTCTAGCGCCTAAGCGCCTAGGCGGGGGTCTAGGTGGACTAGGTGGATTTAAGTAAATTTATTATATTTTGCGTAAATAAGTGTTTGTTTGTACTTAAAATATATATAAACTACAAAATAGAATGACATATATATTATGAAGTATTGGAACATAATGAAAATATGGGGAACAAACATATAATGTGTGTTCATTTAAGTATTCAACAAGTCTCTTACAATTTATTGAAAAAA